TATATATATAGTGAAAGCCATAATAAGCAAACACCTTTTTTCAAGCACATTTTCATGCGTGTACAGATTCCATTCATCCTAAAGTAATTATAGATCTGAAACTCATACAATTACATTGAATATCATTACACATTGGTAAACAAAAGCATGTCTGACATCTTCATTAACATGCACAACCAGTTAATGAAATATGTGCATTTATTTCTGTCACCCTCATCTTAACCACAAGTGACACTGTCTAATCCCCTTTGGGCTTAACAGTGCTCCCACAGGATCATAAGAACAAACAGACCCTTTTATGTTATGGTCAAAAACAAACAAACAATAAATCCAAATAAAAATAAAAATACACACTGCAGTTTATAAAGATATGCATTATTTTTAGTGAGAGGAAATGATGACTGTCCAGCTTATTTTAGGCTTTCTTTAAAAAAAATGCCCGTTACTTCTTTTGCCAGTAGAGGGCTGGTGTCCCATCTTCTAAATATTCTGCCTTTTATTAACTACAAGCTTGACTGAGTAGTGACAGCTGCTACTCACAAGATGGTGGCAAATTTAAGGACAAAAACAGAGCAAGAGGGGACAAAAAATAGTCCCATGGAACGAGAGGCGAATCAGATTTAGATGGATGCAGAGAATAAAAATAGGGGAGATCCACAACTGTCTCTACCTTTCCCAAGAGACAAGGAAAGAGGGGGGAGGAGGAGGAGGATCATTCCAAGTGCTGAATCCTTTCTTTTTTGTATTTCATTCCTGAGTCACCACTTCATCTGTCCACCTACCCTCTTTCTCCCGTGTGTCTCTCTGCATCTCTACCGCTCATTCGTCCCTCCCTGCTTGCTTTCTCACTCCCATCCCCTCACAAGGAACCTCTCTTGTTTGTCCATGCACCCAAATGTCTGCAACATCCTGCTCTCTATTTACAGAGCATGTGGGATGCAATGTGTATGTGTGAGAGAGAGAGCACATCACATTTGTGTAACTTTGTAAATCTGCATCGATGTAGGTTTATCTGTGTGTGATTTGTGTCTTGAAATATCATTCTGCATTTTCACAATGTGTGGTACACAACTTTATAATTTTGTATCATTTGATATGTCTTATTAATTGCATGCCACGCGTAGCGAAAAGTAACAACAAGCAAGATGGAAAACAGGCATGTCAGTATGCCAGAATTCATTTTTCAATTAGTTCAAATTCGTTTGTCCTTGAAAGGGCAGATGAAGTCATGTAAGAGGGCAGAAGTGCATATTATAAAGCCTTTACTCTCTGATTTAAAGTTCAGTGCTTTTTCTCTTTTTTAATACTGCATATATATA